TATGAATTAAATTACATTTGTGTTCCTAATAAGTTTATGTTTCTCTTCATTTTGTTTGCCCCACCAATATATCCTTATGATATTGATTGATGCTTATTACAGTATATTCTTATGCTATTGATGCTTATTACTTTTTTAGCAAAACCTTGTATGTGCCTAGTTCAATTTAATCCACATTTAAACAGAAACTATAAAATCATTTGTAAAGACAGGTTATACCTGGTGGTCTCATACAGTAGTCAAGGTGTATTTTCTTAATTAAGGATATTGTAGCTAATCTTTCAAAAAGAAACTGATATGTTTCTATTTTATTATGAAATGATAACATGAAGAAAAAGAATGATGAAGCAAATCCAAGAAGCACCTAAGGGTACTCCTTTAAATCAAGTTTTTATTAGATGGTTTCCTTAGATGAACAATTGAGAGCTCAATTGGATTTCCAAAATGAAGATGAAAGTCTGGTATTAAAAGTTAAAGGCTTTTTTGGCTAAAAGTGTCATAAACTTCTCTATTGTTAGCACCTCAATGTTGATGAAAGTCTGGTATCAAAAGTTAAAGGTTTTTTGCTGCAAGTGTCTTAGACTTCTCTTTTGTTAGCACCTCAAGTTGTCTATGTATAAGTGTTGGTGCCCTTCATGACGAATTACTACCACTGAGATAGGTCACCCTGAGTTAGATTGATATTGGGATGTTTATGTTATTTTGTGGGATGTACACTTGATGAATGTATTTGACTTATGTGCTTTAATTGTTGATTAATGAAAAATGTGAAATAAGTATATTACCTTATAGTTATGAATTGCAATTCTAGATTACGAAACAGGAACAAGTAATTAATTCATCATATATTATTCCTAAATAGGTATTTGATTTAACATATGTGACATAAGTTGTGTCACATGTCAAAAGAATATGTGACGATTTCAATGTCATTTAGTGTTAATCATATCATTCTAGGATTATATTGGGTGACGATAAAATCATCACTTATAAGTTTGATATGAGACGAAAAACATTTGTCACTAACTTTTTTATTTTGTGATGCTTATTCCGTCACTTACAAACAAAATATGTGACGAAATTAGCACCACGTAAAAGAAAAATATGTGGTGACTCTAACATTCGTCACGTAAACTATCGGTGATGTTGTATAGGTGACGATAATTGTGACGCTGGAATTTCATCACATATAGTCAAATGTGACGAATTTTCATATTTATGTGACGAATGTCTGTTGCCACAAAAACCCTTTTTTCTTGTAGTGGGTGTGTAGATGAGGGAAGAGGGTGGGTGCGGAGGGTGGATGCGAGGGTGGGTGCGGGGGTAGAAGAACTGGAATTTTTTTTTTCTTTTCTGGGTTGCAGGTAGGGGAAGAAGATGAAGATAGGGGAGAAGAAAGAGAGAAAATGGGGGGGAAGGACGAACTGATGGTGGGTTTGTTTTTTTTTTAATATTAAATGATTTTTTTAGTTTTTAATAATATTTCAATAATTTTTTAATAAAAAGTGGGTCCCGTCTCTGATCACGTCAGCATTTAACAGAGAAATTAACAGAAAAACTGATGGAGGTATGACATTGGCACAAATTCGTAAGATAGGTATGACATTGTCAATTTTAAAAGATGAGGTATAAAAGTGTCATGACACCAATAGTTGAGGTAGTTTTATGTAATTTACCCTCATAATTAATATACAAATGTGAAAAATGTATATATATATATACACACACAAATACTCCTAATGACAATCTCTACAACTTTTGTAGATGGGTCAACTCCGAAATTCGACATTATAATCTATAAATCCTAGATTTATATTTAATCATATATTTTACGTTTATACTCCATTCTTCTCACTAGATTTTGTTTTTTTTTCATATTTTCATTTTTGAAAACTTGATTTTTTTAGTGGATTCAAAAAGATTGTTTGGATCGTTGACATCACGTTCAAATTTTTACGATCAACGAAAATATTGCTCAGAGTTTATAAAATTTATAGAAATTATATAACATTGACTCATATTTCAGTTAACCATAAATATCGAAACCTGATATTAACAATCTGAACTATTCATAAAGGAAGCATTAAAGCATATGGTAGGGGCCATAAGTAGATAGTCTTCAATGGAGTCTGGAAATTCAAGACCTTAGAAGGCATTCGATTCAACAAAAAAAAACAATAATAACAACAATATTATTCCAATAACTACAAAGAGCATGTGATCCAATAAGTAAAGCACGTGCAGTTTCAAGAATATGTTGAATTGTACCCTCGACCTCACCATTTTGTTGGAATGTCTGAGAGCAAGTCGTCTCATATAGAATGTCATGAGCCTCAAACTAGTGTTCAAAATCATGATTTACATACTCTCCACCATTATCAGAATGCAAGACTTTTATTCTTAATTATCAATACGTATAAACATGTCATATGTGTGCAATCAACCACAAAGACGCAATGTAAAACGCCATCCTAAATTAGTATCTACATACCACGTTGTCACTAAATTAGTATCCACATGCCCCAAGCCCTAAAACCCTAATCCTAAAAATCCAAACAATGATGTAACCATCATCAAAACGTACAACCCGAAGCCAGTGAGCTCTCAAAAGACCTCGTGCTAGGTAGAGATGGGAATATACATATAAGGCTTACAGGATCCACTTTCCTGGGCGATGTGGGATGTTACAAATGCAATCACGAGCGTTTACATATTTATTTCACATTTTTCGTATTTATAAATTAGTTATTACGAATTTTAACATAATTTTATTTTTCCTACAAAATACAAAAGCACATTAAAAGAATAATTAATTTACAAGTGTGAAAATGTCAAAAGATATGCAAACGCTCATGATCATATCCTCTACACTTTGACGATGGGTATATAGTTGTTTGGATTTTTGAAACCTTCAAACCCTCATGAACAATGTTTTTAGGGGAGTTCAGAATAAATGAAAATTCATAATAATTAATTTACACGTGTGAAAAATGAGAAAAATATACAAACACTCATGATTACATCATTTACGCTTGGAGATGGTTACACCGTCGTTTCGATTTTTAATTAAAGCCCTCCAAACCCTCATGAATAGTGATTTTTTGTCTGAGTGCAACTTAATAAAAATTCATAATAATTAATGTACAAGTGTGAAAAATGTATAAATATATATATACACACACACACACACACTCAAATTGTCACATCCCGGCCCGGGCCCCCACCACATCCCTGGCTCGACTCCACCGTAGCACGATATTGTCCGTTTTGGGCCCCGACCACGCCCTCACGGTTTTGTTTATGGGAACTCACACGAGAACTTCCCAGTGGGTCACCCATCATGGGATTACTCTCGTGCGAACTCGCTTAACTTCGAAGTTCCTATAGAACCCGAAGCTAGTGAGCTCCCAAAGACCTCGTGCTAGGTAGAGATTGGAATATACATATAAAGCTTACAGGATCCACTCCCCTGGGCGATGTGGGATGTTACAATCCACCCCCTTAGGGGCCCGACGTCCTCGTCGGCACATATCCAGCCAAGGATTGGCTCTGATACCAAATTGTCACATCCCGGCCTGGGCCCCCACCACATTCCGGACTCAACTCCACTGTAACACGATATTATCCACTTTGGGCCCCGACCACGCCCTTACAGTTTTATTTCTGGGAACTCACATGAGAACTTGCCAGTGGGTCACCCATCATGGGATTGCTTTTGCGCAAACTTGCTTAACTTCGGAGTTCCTACGGAACCTGAAGCCAATGAGCTCTCAAAATGCCTCGTGCTAGGTAGAGATGGGAATATACATATACGGCTTACAGGATCCATTCCCCTGGGTGATGTGGGATGTTACAATCCACCCCCCCTTAAGGGCTCGACGTCCTCGTCGGCACACATCCGGTCAGGGATTGGCTCTGATACCAAATTGTCACATTCCGGCCCGGGCCCCCACCACATCCCGGGCTCGACTCCACCGTAGCACGATATTGTCCACTTTGGGCCCCGACCATGCCCTCACAGTTTTGTTTCTAAGAACTCACACGAAAACTTCCCAGTGGGTCACCCATCATGGGATTGCTCTCGCGTGAACTTGCTTAACTTCGGAGTTCCTACAGAACCCAAAGCTAGTGAGCTCCCAAAAGGCCTCGTGCTAGGTAGAGATGAGAATATACATATAAGGCTTACATGATCCACTCCCCTGGGCGATATGGGATGTTACACAAATACTCCTAATGACAAGCTCTACAACTTTCGTTGAGGGGTCAACTCTGAAATTCGACATTATAATCTATAAATCCTAGATTTATATTTAATCGTCAATTTTACGTTTATACTCTATTCTTCTCACTGGATTTTGATTTTTCATATCTTCATTTTTGAAAACATGATCTTTTAGTGGATTCAAAAAGATGAATTGTTTGGATCGTTGACATCACGTTCAAATTTTTACGATTAATGAAAATATTGCTCGGAGTTTATAAAGTTTATAGAAATTATATAAAATCGACTCATATTTCAGTTAACCACAAATATCGGAACCTGATATCAACAATCTAAATTGTTCACAAAGAAAGCATTAAAGCATATGGCAAGGGGCCATACGTAGATAGTTTTCAATGGAGTCTGAAAATTCAAGACCTTAGAGGGCATTCGATTCAAAAAAAAAAACAATAATAACTACGAGGAGCATGTGAGCCAATAAGTAAAGCACATGCAGTTTCAAGAATATGTCGAATTGTACCCTTGACCACACCATTTTGTTGGAATGTCTGAGGGCAAGTCATCTCAAGTAGAATATCATGAGCCTCAAACTAGTGTTTAAAATCATGATTTACATACTCTCCACCATTATCAAAATGCAAGACTTTTATTCTTAATTATCAATACGTATAAACATGTCATGTGTGCAACCAACCACAAACCATCAGAATCCATGTGGTATTCATGTACTAGATTAGAATTTCTCGTGCTCATGCTAGGTTTGGGCCGGGTTGTACACCTCAACAAAATGGGCCCTATTTTTCAGTTAACTTGGAGAAAGAAAGACAAGGCCCTGACTTGTAAGGCCCAATACCTCCTCAAACGTCAGGCGTTCCCTCTGATAAACGCGGTGGTCGAATTCCTTCCCGCGGTTGCGTCGATACTCTTGAGCCGCCGTCGAGGCGCATTTGCCCATCTGCTGGTAAGTTTCAGATTTGATGATATTTTTTAATTCCTAAGATTATTTTAATACTTTTTTTTCGTTAAGCAAATTCTGATTTTTTTTTTTGTGCTAAGTTTCCATTGTTTTCTTCATCAACGCTTGCAATTTTATAACTTTGATGATCTCGTGCTGTTTAAATCATAAAAACTTTGGATATGAACTGAAACTTTTTAGCTAATCTTGAATTGGTGTTAGCATTTGATATGAACCTTTTGTGATTAAATTTGTAATGTTTTAATGGATGAATTAGTTCTGGGAATTGAGATTCCCTTTGGTTTCAAACAAAGCATTAGGAAATGTGTAACTGTAAAATTGAAGTAGGCGAATGTTTTTGACAGTCCCTTCAGCTTAATCATGGTCCGAGCAACATTTCCCTTCAGCTTAATCATGGTCTGGCAGCTCATGAATTTCTATATCTTCTACCATCCAGGTGACCTTTACTGTCATGATTCTTCATGGTAAGTCGGTAGCGAGCCAAGACGTATGGTAGCATACCATTAGCACTTAGCACTAGCAATTTTCATTTGAATTTCAAATGTGCAGGCTGATACACAGATCAAATGGCTAAATAATTGGTATCGGATATTGAACACCCTCTCTGGCGTTATTCTCTTCTTTTGTTTCTCCCAGCTTTGGCATTAGACACTTATATCACGAGAGATACGGAACACACTTTCATATTGGTGAACGGTACTGTATGGTTTCTTTTCTTTGATCATTTTGTTTTGCATCTTTCTGTACCTCCTAGGCTTGCTCTGTTCTTGCTTGGTTTCTCAGATTAACTGGTTCAACAGTAACAGAAACTCTTTGTTTCTCAGTGACAATTTGATCGCATGCGTGGATAGCTCTTGATTTCATGTTTCTTCTTTAATTAATTGGTGTTTACCGGACAACCTAAAAATATGTCAATTCAGTTCAATACAAAATTATGATCAAGACCGGTCTGGTGTACCTAAATGAGCCTAATCTCACTCTTTGTTCTGTGCACCCATTAGCAACTAGGATTTCAAAATTTGAACATGAACCCTAGTGTCAGCTCTTTTGTGGTACATTTGCTTTATTGTGTAGATTTGGGTTGTAAATTCATCATAGTTCTTTAAGTCATACCGTCAGCTTGGGAGATGGTGTCATAGTTTAGTATTTTCTGTTAGTGCTGGATTTTATGTTTGAGTTCCGTTTGAATCTGTCTCTGATTTTCCTTTCTTTGCTTAATTGGTATTTGCAGGACAGAGCCAAATTATCTTGACCCAGTCCAAAACAACACCAGACAGACCCAGCCAAAGGTCCCTTAATTCGCAATCTTTGTCCTAAGCTCACATCAACAACTAGGATTACAAATTACAGATTATTAACATGGACCCTAGATACACTGGAGAGATTTTGAAGTAAGTCTTTTCAATCATACATGAGATTTCACCTCATACGGCTCCTCGTTCAATTCTTTTGAAGTCATTGGATCCTTTTCCCAGTTCAAGATACTCTTCCCTTCTTCCACTCCGTTCGGAAGTGTAACTAGGGCCAATTCAGTCGTGTTTTCATTCATTTGGAACCTGGGCTCTTTTCTTTACATGAAATTTAATTTTGATAGGTATAGCTTTTATTGTTTGTAAGTTTATCTATTTTCTGTGTATAGGCATTTGGAGAAGCAAAACGAGCTCCTCACGGAAGCAAAAATATCAATGTCTGAGGAATTGCACCAACTGAAGGTTGTTTTTCATTCTACCGAGTCTAAAACAGTCTGAATTAAAATATGCCTGCTTGTTCATATGTGCCGAGTATAAAACAATCTAATTTAGATTGCTGTACAATCTGCAGGTCGAAGAAGAAATGCTGATGCGTAAGTTTTATGAGATAATGTCAGCTCATGGTAAACTTAAAAAGGTACAATTCTTTCGTAATTCTGTCTTCCTATGCTTCTGCTTACATATGTTGCGTAGTTCTGGAATCTGGACCAACTATTTTAAATGATCTGAGTTGTTTGTATATTTTGTTTTATATATATGTATGTATACATACATATATGTATATATAGAAACGGTGAAGCTTTGGTTGTATCCAAATTACTCTTATCCCATTAGGATGTCAAAAAGAAACAAAAAATTCACCCAAAAAAAAAAATCCGCGTGGTGGGACTAGGGGGTCTAGGCGTGTGGCAAGGGGCTAGTATTATAAGACTGCATTGAAATAAAGTACCAATATAGTCAGCATGTAAGGTTAACATTAATCTTTTCCATTGATGATCTTTCCTCAAGTGAGTGGATACTTGTTGTTTTAATCCTGGCTGTTACTTCATGTAGTTATTTATTATGTTTCCGTTTGTCTGATTGCGTGCGTTTTTGCAGAATGAAGGTTGTGGTACAGTTTCAGATGACGGTGAAATTGGACGAGGACCGTTGATGACTTCAAATTCTGTTTTCACATTGTCGAATGAATGTGTATGTAGTATTGAATAGTGTACCTCCTTTTACTACTTAAGCCAAGTTTCGATCAACGTTATGTTGTCAAACGGATCAAATAGTTGCGGAGCGTGAATTCTATGAGATAAATGCCGCATTAGGGTTTCAAGATCCGAAAATTTTTGCATCACACCAATGATGCTGGATTCTGCATCTGTAAATTGTAGAGTTACACTTTCTTGTTTAGATCAATTGTTTGATGCGATAATATACTCTATCTTTCAGCAGCACCACTTTTATTCAATGTGCTTCCAGGCTGCTTATTACAGTCAGAGTCTCAGAGATTGGGAGGTTAAGTTTTGATTGAGCTCTTCCTTTTATCTCCCGTTCTCTTCGACCACAGACGACTCTAGCTTCGAGTCAGTGCTTGCGGTGTTCATGCGACAAACATATCGTTCAGAAAACTAAAAGTTCGATGTTTGGACGTGTAAGCTGAATCTCTCTGGTTATAGCAAGAGGAGCAGGATTACATATCAAAAGAAACCAGATATTACTTGGAACTAAACTAGTAACATAAACTAATGGCTGAAAAACTACAAGATCACCTCAGAATCTGATTTCCCATCGTAGAAGAAGAGCCACCGGTCTCAGTTTCCGCTCCGACTGCATTCAGGTGAGAATGAATCGACACTGAAGATAACCTGCAATCGAAAAGATAACACTCCATATCAGCAAGCTTGCAAAAGAGGAACATTTACAGACTAATCAAAATTGGAAGATGAAGAGGCTTTTTTACTTGGATCATTGTTAATCAACATTGCAGTGCCATCGAAGCTGCAAGTCCCTCCGGTCTTCTTGTTCTTCTGCCAGTAGCTGTTGAAGGCGTAGGAAGCATGTGCCACAACAGAATCAGGGCTGTAGCAGTTGCCATCCGACATGATCTCCGAGCAGTCAGCACCGCCGTCTCCGCAGGCGTAGTCCATTGCCACCTGCAGAGTGTCTGAAGGAACAGTGGGCTTGGCCACACACCACAGCTTGTTGTGCACTGCAGTCTGAGGGGCTGGGGCAGGAGGTGGCACGTGTGTCGGCCTGCAGGGTGGAATTGTGGCAGGGGACGGCGGAGGGGAATCATCAACAAAAGGAGGGTTTTCTGGGGCTGAGGAGAACCCCGTATCTGGTGGAGAAGCTATCTGGGGTGGTGGTGGAGAGGCTGTTTGTGCCTCTGGGGAAGGCAGGAGTGGTGGCGGAGAGACGGCACTTTGGGGTTGTGGCGAAGGAACTTGGAGCGGCGGAGAGGCAGTTTGGGGCAATGGAGGATGAGGATTTTTAGCCACATTGGCGGGAACAGAGAGACCAACAGTGGAGTGAAGTGGGGTTTCTGAAATTTTAGGCAATGGCTTCGGTCTCGCTGGAAAGGGGTCCGCAGAGAGCTTTCTGCCGCTGGGTTTTCTCTCTCCGGGGTTGTCAAGAACGACAGTATAATCGTCAAAGTTAAAGCTAACGCCGATAAAGTCCTCAAGGCTTTCGGAGTGAGAAGACACCAACGTTGGAGAGACAGTTTGAGATGCTCCCTTGAGAAAATCTAGGACAGGCCTCACAAATTTCCCAAAGATATAGGAGCTTCTGACGAAACAAGAAGGAGCGAAGGCGGGTGAGAGTTTGATGTGTTCCTGGAGGCCCCACCGTGTGAGGGAGTGGTGCAAGTTCTTGACGGCCGGGAGGATGAGAGTGAGAGTGTGTTCTTGCTCTTTCCGGCAGAGAAGAAGAGGGACGCCGCCAACGCCGCCGACGACAATGGCGGTGATGGGGGCGGAAGGGTAGTGAGCAAGGACGTGGGTTTTGAGCCAAGTTTCTGCCTTTAAAATGCTGCTTGCAACCTCACTGAGATCTCCAGATTTTACAGAAACAATGGAGTCTTGCCTTTCACCTGCACAGAAAATAAAGGCCCAGAAAATTTTCAGAAAAATAAAAGATAAAAAACCAAGAATTTTAATAACAAAAAGTGAGATTTATTTGAACTTGGTTGAACCTTTTTCTTACCAGAAACACCAAAAGAAAGGAGAAATAGAAGATGAAAGAAGAACACCATCTTCGTCTTCAACATTGTAGCAGTTGCAGAGCCTTCAACTCTCTCCTCCCTCTCTGGTTTTCCTTCCTACACTACTTGTTGGAGTTGGTAAGTATTGTGGTAGAAATAGTACGAAAAACAAAGCAAAATGGTGCTTTTGTAGTGGAAAAGACCAAACTGCCCAATAAGACTACAGAAGCAGACCATTTTGGCTAAGACGCTGTCAAAGCAGGGCCAAAAATTAACACGGGTAGAATTGTCCTTCGACCTATGGGCATATTTAGACGTGTGGGCCAAGAGTCCAAGACCCAACTAACAGAGTTGTCCCTCTGCCCCCTCTGCAGATTCACTCTCCATAATTTTACATGTTTATCTTCATTTGCCTTGAACGTGGAATGTATTATAGCATATTCCCGAGTATTATATATTTTGAAGTTTTTAATTGTTAAATTGTTAAACTTTTGGTTAAGAATTAAATGATTAAAATTCATCGGCTAAAAGCTTACGGTATACGATACCTCAAAGCAGTGGCGGGAAGTCGAAATTTCAGCCTAGGAAGAACCCAAATGTCTCAATCTGAAACGCTCTCTTAAACTTATAAAAATTACTGTCATGTAATGAATAACCGACCAACGTCATTCGGGTTTGATATGGTGTCCTCTCATCATCTTCTCATCATACCTAAACCCCAAGCCTCTCTAACTTTCTTCCCCTCTCCTCCACTGATCCCCAGACTAAAGTCCTCATCAAGGCTCACAACCAACTGATTGCCTAAACTCTATATGAGCTATCAACCTCATATCAAATGATGATGAAATAAATTAAAGTAAAAATGTCTGAATGGGGCATGAGCCTACAAAAACCTTGAAAATCATAAGCATAACACTAAATTTTTACGAGTAAAAAAATGTTAGGATGGGCCTGGGACTATCCTATTCCTTTCATGGCTCCGCCACTTCCTCAAAAGATTATAAGTTTTTTGCAGACTATATAAGATATGACTACAATTTCTCTACATTATTGACTTTCTTCAAAACATTATTCTTTTTAGTGTCGTTCAACATTCTAAACTATTTAGTATCTAAATTCTCTTTTAAAAATTATCTACGTAAGAATTAGTTAGCTCTAATTGTTTGGTCATTGTATTGTACATATCATATAAACTTTATTTAACTGATTACGGTTTTTTGCACGTTTTAATGATTAAACATTGTTGGAGTCGGATAATTTTTTACAAAAATGATCTTTAAATGATAATATAAAAAAAAAATAGACGACTCAGATTGTTAAAATACATAACGGAATAGTGTTAGAAGAATATTTTTGTTAGGACTATTTTGAGCAAAGTAAATTAAACTAATAAAACGAAATTATCTAATCTTGCCTAGAGATTTTTAATTTTACTTTTATTGGAGTGAAGCGAAGATAGCCGTTATCTTTGTAAGACCAGTGGGACCACTATCATGTGGTAACAAAAGTTAAAAGCACAGGTTTAGTGGGGCCCAGAGATAACAGAGTGCAAAAAGGACTGGAAATGATTTTGGCAACTTGGAGGCCAAGCAAATATATCAGACGACAGAGACAGAAGAGAAGAAGATTCCAAATTGAAATGGGCCTGCACAAAGATAATGGGTTGGGCCTGATCTTAATATTAATTAAACCCATTGTAAGCCAATCCTAAGTTCTATCAAATCAAATTCTAGTTACTACCATGGCTTGGTAGCAACCCAGCACTTCAAAATAGTCGCTATCCACTGATTTATTTATATATTTTTTTTGGAAATTATTTTTGGCAATTCAAAATTTTACTTGTCAGTTGCTCGTAAGAGGTTTTTTTTTTTTAATATAAAATATATGGAGTACAAAATTAGATTTTTGAAGGATCGATAATAATTTCTTTTTTTTTGTCAATTAAATTGTTATTAAGTATTGGAGCCTAATCTTGGTTTTTTTTTCTTTTAAAAACAAACAATATTACCCTATCTACACTAAGGGGGATGAATAGATTTAGCCTCATAATAAGCTAGCTATAATATGGTTCAAATTCGACTTTGGCAAGAATCAATCTAAATCTCTCATATAAGTACGGAGAAATATCATTATACCGTAATAGTGGCAACCTTGGTTTTCTTATAGTAATTAAAATACGACTATTTTTCAATGCCAAATAATTCCTGGGCATAAAAAAATATTTTTTTGTAGTTAACACTAAATAATAAATTATTAAAATACAAAGTGAACTTTCTATCACAAATTATTATCGACCAAACTGAACTGATTCGTGGGCCTCTTACCCTTCTCCCATCTTATGGCCCAGCTCTGACTATTGTACAATTTTTTTCATTCCTACCCGATTTTCATCCAATTCTTTCTACGGTGGGTGGGCATCAATATGGCCGAACTAATCACGGCGACCGATCCGGACGACAGTGACCGGTTTGGTTTGGTTTGGTTTGATTTTTAGGAAAGAAAAAGTTAAACTGTTTAAAAGATGAATTGAATGAAGGGAGCTTAAACGAAAAGTTCTCGATACTGTTCACTTTAACGAAAAACTATATTTTTACACTAAAAAGTCAATCATGGTATTATTCACTTTACCCCTTATTTTGTCTTTAATTAGTTTGATTACAGATTGACCACTTACGTATAGGTATTTAAGTGATTTTATTTTATACATGTATCTTTTTATGGGCAACTAGTATGTATGATCACTTTTTGACATGCATAAATGATTATTTGTAATTAACGATCACATATTGATTATACAACGACGACACAACAATAACATAACGACCGCACAACAATGACGTAATGACTCTTAAATCCTTTTTGCAACAAAAGATCAAAAAGTGATCATTCCTGCTAATTGTCTTTTTTATTGACTAATAACTATGTAAGAATGATGAATTTGAAGGTTAATTGAACATTAAAGATCTTTGACTTGTAATTATTTTAAAGGAAAACTAATGAAAAGGGCTTGAAAACTTTTAGTTTTAACGATAAGGACAAAATAAAGGGTAAAGTGAATAGTACCAGTTTTGACTTTTTAGTGTAAAAATGTGGTTTTTCGTTAAAGTGAACAGTACCGAGGGCTTTTCGTTAAAACTCCCTTATTTTAATTGTTAAACTTTAAACTTTGATGATGGATTTTAGAATGGATTGATGTGCAATAAGAAAAGTATGTAATAATTTGTTGAATTTTTGTTATTGTTGGGTTTACCATTTTGTTTTGGTTCTCTTTTCTTAGTATTTTTAGCCAATACTGAACCAAATCAAATCGTTACGTAATGGTGGAAATGAACATTATTTTGTAATTGCAATCTTGTGAACTAATCTATCCTTCTAATAATGTATATATGCACCTGAAAATAAACGAAAGATTATGATCTAATGCGACATACTTGACGTGTGTGTTTAGACCTTCTTTAATGATTACACCTTGGTGCTTGTTTTATTTCTGATTGCATGGCAATGAAGCAAAGCTAGATGCTTGACGTGGCATATGAGATTAGAACCTCTATACTCCACATTAATTACATGAATAATTAGTCCTGTTTGCATGCATAAGACATCTCGTTATGTGATGAGAGATGCAGATATAATCGTTACGTAGTTTGTGCTAAATTTTTCTCCCGGAGTCTAGTCACCTTGTCACATAAACAAATGAAGACACAGCCGACACGTACAACGGTTTGTGCTAAATTCTTCTCGAGCTAGATGGGGTTTTATGTACCATATGGCGAGTGAACTACATTTTCTCTCTCTATGGAAATTGGACTCACATTGGCAATTATAACTACTGCTTTCGACCGTTGCAAGCGATATTCTAATTACACTAAAAGAAGGAATTAGGGAAGCATGAAGTTGAAGAAGACGGCCCTAACCACGTTTAAGATTTTTTATTGTGTTCGGAACACAACCATATATGTTAAATGTCATTATACAAGTGGAAGGATACTTGAAAGAAAAACTTCCCTCCACTTGTATAATGACATTTGACGTACCGTCCCGTATTCCGAACATATTGAATAATCTCTCCAAACCATGAATCAATCCACCACCACACCCTTAATCTTGAATTAATTAGTAACATTTGCTTATTTGTTTAAACTTTAAAGGATATTCTTAATTCCTCTTGGAAACTCTGTTGCTTAATTATTTAAACCTCACTAATTAATTAATAAATCAAGTCCTTAACCATGAGCTTAGTATTGCTTCCAAGCCAGTAGGCCCCCAAGTAGCAAAGAAATCACACTGCTTCGCTTGCCTCCAGCACATTCCATGATTAATAATTTATCTCGATTATTTTTTCTTTCTTTTGTTTGATAATGCTGTCACAACGACACTAAAAAAAAAAATACTAGAGTTAACCTTTTCGATGATTTAAAGGGTACAGTTAGGGGTATGAGGATCCTCTCCATATCCATTTTGTAAGGATCTTAGAGATCCATTAATAATGTCCGTTTATCGTATATCTTGCAGTAAAAAATTATTTAAAATTTTATATTTAAAATTGAACACAAATAGTACCTGACGAAAACTGACCGCACGATTTACAACGAACGAACACGATTAAAGGATCCCCTGAATCCTCTCAAAGAGGATCCGGACAGGATCCTCGTTCCAGTTAGGGCTTGCATGATTAAATTTTAACAATAAAATATAGCTAATCACCATTTTTAAGATAAATAAACTCAAACAGCCAGTTAAATTGTCGGTCAATAGGATCTCATGGCAACTAAAAGAGCCAATTAATTTTACGTGATTAAGGAGTGTTCCTTCGGTCTTATTCTTAGCATGTATCCGTTACACTCTGTCAGAAGCAAACTCTGCCATCCAAGATTCCAAAACATATGCTCTAAGATAGTGGCATTGTGCATCATTTTATAGGATGCGCCAGTGTTTGAAACACCAGATTGTGACTGTTACAATTCAGTCATTCACATACCTGCAACTCATACACCGATGTATTTTAGAATTTTTTTCATTATATGTAAGGAGTCGAATATTTTTTTTCCCTTATTAGAACCTAAATTGTATGGTGCAAGTTATTGAACTACATCAAATGTGAGAGTTGGAAAAAGTGGTGTGAGAAAAAGAAGGAATTTTGAAG